GTTGATGTGTGCTGAAGTTATGATACACTTCCTGTTTCACGTTTCTCGCCATGATTTCGTTTCCTCGCCACGGCCAAACCGTTCGAGATATCAAAAATCCCCTCGCAAACTTTCATCCTCAATGTCTTGACTTCACGCTGACCGAGTTTCGTCGAATTTGGATCAAAGCTCTAGGAGGAGTATTAAAAATTCCATTGCGAGTGTTTTACGAACAACCCTAAATAGCCGACTTCCTGTTGGGCTGGGGTAAAAAGTAAAAGCACGAGGTATAGATGAAACGATGAGATCAACATGTGTACCGAGTTTCATATTATTACATGCAAGCGTGTTTGATTTATGGACCAAGTGTTCGGACCCCGTTCCAGGGGGCGCTGTCTAGCCCCCCTGCCACGCCCGGGTACCATCTTCAGCCCGGCCCTGATGGCCGCGGGTTCTGACCCATGTGCAAAGTTTCAAGAGTTTTTGAGCATGTTAAGGGCCCCAAAAGTGCCCGAATAGTCGTATAAATAATAATAATAATAATAATCGTTAGGAAAACAATAGGGCCTTCGCCCTTTCAGGGCTTGGGCCCTAATAATCGTTAGGAAAACAATAGGGCCTTCGCCCTTTCAGGGCTTGGGCCCTAAATAGTACCTTAAACAGTGAGTGGTCAATGGAAAGATTCATGTTAATTTAATGATGGTTATTAATTATTAAATAATGGTCTCATTAAAAGCTTTAGAGTGCATCAGACATCAGGATGCAGACAGTGTTAAATTGATGCCATGGTTTATAAGTTGTGCAAACTAACAAGATCATAACAGAAATACATATCAATTGTTTTTTAAAAGCAACAAACACCTCGAAGCTAAACCCTAAAGTAAACTGTAATGCCATGCTAGTTTGCAGATTAGCATTGAACAAATGGGTTTCTTTTGGGCATAGACAGCGAAGGGAAAAGACAATGAGAAACAGCGAATACATAAAAAAGAGTCAAACAGACAAATGTTGGTATAAAGCAAGAACATGGCATAATCAGAAATGTAAAGTCCAGGTTCAGAAAGTACAAGTATTTTGTTCCAATCCCCTGGATTTGCTAATTTTTTTCAGCCAGGAGAGAGAACTAATAGTGCAATCAGCTGGACGAGTTCATGGTGAAATAATGGCAGGAATTTTACTTTCTGACCCTGGACTTTACACCTCTGGTCATTATTGTCATATATGCATGTATTTAATATTTTGTTTGAATTGAAACAACATCATTCATAAGACGTGCACGACCCATTATTGATCATTTCATTTAAAGAATCAACTCTGGCCTTGGAAAGTTTAAGGAAGTCAACACTATTTTCAGTTTTACCAGATAAGAAACAACTCGACTCTTTAGAATGTTCCACATTCCTCTCCTGCACATTGATTTATTGCATTAGTTATAAATTTACCCAGTTTTAAAGTACACTGAAAAAAATAACATGCTTTATCTAATCAATAAAATTGTGGCAACATATTACAAGCAATATTATTAATTAAATTGTACAAATTAGAATTTTAATTTGATTAACTATTACTCAATTCTAATTTGTTCAATTTAATAAATAATATTGCTTGTAATCTTACAAGCCACAATTTTATCACTTTGAGGTCATTAAATTGATGTAAAGTGCGTTACAAATAAAATATATTATTATTATTATTTAGATAAAGCATATTCATTTTTACAGTGTAAAGTATGAGCATCTCATGAGAAGGACTGTGTATTTCCTTGATTGTGTAGTCTAACCTGATATTCATCTTCACTGTCATTTTGTCACATTTCAGAGTTTTTAGCAAAACAGAATAGATTTTTACAAATGGGCAAAATAAGCATGTTAAAACCAATCATAAAGAATGATAATGCTCAAACCTCATGTACAAACAGACACTGAAGAGGACGAATATTGTTTAATTATTCCCTTAACAAACTCTGATTGATTAGCAACTAATTGAATTAAAATAGAGACAACTTTGACCCAAATGTTCATCATAAGCTTTTGTGTGTCTAAGGTTTTCAAGTCAAGTCACATTTATTTAAATAGCGCTACAGAGTGTTTCAAAGCAGCTTTACAGAGATAACAAAATGCAACAAAGTTTGTTTCCAGAAGAAAGAAGCGTCACAGTCCAGCTTAAGGAAGTTCAGTGATGTTTCATTTTGTTGTATATAGTTCATTTATTTATATATAGCCTCACTGGAGAAAACCGTGATGTCATCGTCCAGCTCAGTTCTCATTTAATGGTGTCAATGCTAGCCGATCAATATTATTGTTGAATATTAAATTAATGTTATTTAAAGATAAATATTTTAGCTATTCTATAAGTTTGATAAAGTAGGAACTTGAAAGTAATATAAAGTATTAAAAATAAGCTAATGTATATCTGACATGTTTAAAATCCTGCTATACATACCGGCTAAACAACAACATGACATTGCCTACAGGTCAAAGACTCTTTCATATCAGGATTGTGACTGACGTGCCTCTAGGCAGGGGCACAACCAGTGTCAGAGGGGTATGCAGCAACATTTTTTATGTAAAACTGTTGTAGGTGGAACGGGGGTAAGAAAATTTTGTGTTCTTTAATGTTAAATTCAGCTGTCTGGTGCACTTTGAGAGTTCAAAATTAAAAGCTCCAAGCCATATTCTGGGTGCAAATTAAACAAAGAAAAATTCAAACCTCTTTTAGTTAGTGTCTACATTACACTACTACATAATAATAGTTATAATATTAATCCCATGACAGTAGTAGCCATATATTGTAAAACAAATGCACTGAAAAATAAAGGAAACTTTCATAATTAGTTTACTCATTTCTATACTTGAAAAAGATATAGGCACATGATGACATGTTTCATGGGCCGGTGTGTCAGAAAAAAAACAACTTTTTTGACCAATGCATTACACGTCACTAACCCAGCGCCGGCAATTAAGCAAAAAAATAAAAAATAAAAAAATAAATTTTGGGTCAAATATGGACAAACCCAGCCATTGGGTTACATTTTTTAAATTACATTTTTAACCCAATGTTTGAGTTTGTCCATTTTTGACCCAAAACTGGGTTAAAACAACCCGGCATTTTTAGAGAGTAGGGGAAGGTCCCGCCTTTTTCGCCTCTGATTGGCTAGAAGGGCTCTCCTCCGATTGGTTATTTGATTTATGCGTGTGTGTGTGTGTTGGCTTGGGTAAATTTAGGAGTAGGGTTAGTGTGTGTGTGTGAGTGTGTGTGTGTCTTTTGGGTTGGTTTAGGAGTAGTGTGTGTGTTGGGTATAGGTTTAGGAGTAGGGTGAAAACAGACTAGACAACCTGCCATGAACGTGAAATGACATTTCACGGCCAAATCAAATAACTAATCGGAGGAGAGCCCTTCTAGCCAATCAGAGGCGAAAAGGCGTGACCTTCCCCTACCATCCGAGAAGCACCTGGCTGCAGCCTGCAGATTTGGGCGGGGGTGCACCTGGGGCGGGGGTGCACGTGCAGCCCCGCCCACAATGCTTCTCATTGGTTATCACTTTGTCACTAACCAATGAGAACTGTTATGGGCCCCAGGTGCAGCCCCACCCCGATCTGATAGACAGCTTACATGTCTGGATGTCACACTTTAAAATCCCACCTGTTGGCTTTCAGCATGCACTTATTTAGCTGCTGTCGCATCAATGGACATGCCATCTCCTTTTCCCTCTTTCTTTTTCTATTTTTTTAGCCCCACAGCATTTTGTTTTATAAATCTTTTTTCCGACGACAACTAACTACTCGTACCTGCTCACTCAGCTCTCGCGATATTACCCCGCCCCCTTCTCTATGAGGGCGCCTAGCCTGTGCCTGTTAGTCCTCTAAAATTTTATATAACATTGAAGAAATGCAGTAATGATTAGAAACACCCAACAGCAGCTACATATAGAAAATACAATACATATATAATTATACACAGTGCACCCACATTATGTAAACACAAACTTTATTTTGGATGCGATTAATCGTTTGACAGCCCTAATAAAAATATATAAAAATACATTTTTAGATTATTTCTATTATTCAAATGTATTTAAAAAAATATATTAATATATGTTGACTGCTGTGCGCGTTTAATCCGTTTCCAGAATAAAAATCGAACTGTAGAAGCAAGTTATAGAAAGCCTCCTTCCGGAACGTTATTCACTCTTAGAAGAAATGGTTCTATTTAGAACCAGAAATGGTTCCATCCCACACTTTATATATGGAACTCCAAAATGGTTCTATATATCCATTTTTTCTATTGGCCGAGTATGGAACCCCAGGGTTCTATATAGAACCCAGAGGAACCCTTTTTTAAGAGTGTATAGAACCTTTTAGGGGTTCCAAATACGTAGCGCTGATAGAACCTTTTAAGGTTCTATATAGAACCTTTTCTTCTAAGAGTGTTGGTTGCTATGGTTGCTGGGGGTTCCGACAGGAACACTCTTAGTGCCACAATAATGGCTAAACACCTTTCTTTAATATGCTATTTAAAAAAGCAACATTTGAAGAAGAAGACGCCACTGCCTTCATCTACCGAGTCCACCCAGCCTAGTTCTTCAGACTCATTAACCCACAAGAAGGCTATTCAGGTGCTGGCGGTGGCCGCTTCTTGCTCTCTCTCTCTCCCAGTCAACCTGATGTCAACCCAGTCACTGATCTAACTGTGATATTATTGTTTTAGCTTACATTATTTTCGGGTGAACTGTCTTTGCACTGCTGACTATAACTGAATAAAATAGACAGGTTATTGTCTATACCGGTTTGTCCAGCGTTTATTGAGCTCTGTTGGTTGAACATGATGATTTGTCAAAGGTTAATCTCTAAGGTTAATTATTATTGAAGTCATTTTTTTTTTCTATGAAAAACAATAGGCCCACTCACATTTTCACTGGCACACCCAAAATACAATTTCTGCCTACGCCACTGCGTCCAATTGCTCGGACTTCAAACTTATGTAAATTAATGGAAAAGATTATAGTTCATATACACATGATCTAGAGAAAAAGGTACATTTATTAAAGTATCAATGTGGATTTAGAGGTAAAAGATCAAACATGGATGCATTAATTAAAGTCAGTAATGAAGTAGGCTAGAGAAGACAATAGCTATGAAAGAAATGGCAGTAGTGTATTTTGATATAGAAAAAGGTAAAATAGTATTCCTCAAGGGAGTGCTAAGTCCAATTCTTTTACTATAATGGTTAATAATATTTTTGACAATTTAGGATATAGTGTGGGATGTGCATTGTATGCTGATGATGGGGCTGTTTGGAAGAGAGGAAGAAATACAAAGCAAGTGATATCAGGTATGCAAACAATTATTAAGAAGGGACCTTTGAACAATGCTGGAATGACGCATGTGAACGGTCATTTAGTCACTTAAAGATATAAAAGGGAAAAGAAACCAGGAATGACCTTATTAATTTTCTTCTATGATTGAATAAACATTCATCTGATTGTCTATTATTATTATTGTAGCACATCTTCTTAAGTAAATATGATTGATGTAGTAGCCAACAAGTAAATTCTCAAATAATAATTCATTAATTATATCATTTGAAGGAATACTATGCAATAACGAAACAATTAGAAACCCACAACCAGTAAGGCATCAGTTACACACACATTAAAATGGCATTATACAATGCAAAATGCATTTTGTTGTGGTACTAAACTAAAAGTGTGTGAGGACACTCATCAGAGGAACAAGTATAAGCATCAGAGAACCACACACACAAGAAGCCTCAGATACCTTCACTTGTTCTGGGACCCACTTATCTGTGGACAGGGGATATAATGAAATGTAGTGAAATATAATGTATTTACATATAAACCTTTATTTACTGAATGACTGAAATAAATTAGATGTTCACCTGTGTTCCCTTCAGACAACACCAGAGGACCCATGGATATGGAAGCACTGTCATGGAAGTCCAGAGACCTGCGCTCTCTCCGCTGGTGTCCAGAGCCACAGTCCTAATAGAGAAAAGAGCAAAATCCAGCTGTGTGAATCTCTGTTAAATATCACTGAACAAACACGATAAAAGAGTGCACAGAGTCTCCAGAAGAGGGCAGAAAAAACAAGCATTTCAGCCTTGAACATTAAACCTCAGCATCATGGACATTTAGAGAGATATTTCTCTGATCGACAGGAATTGATCAATAGCAAATTCCTAAAACTTTCATTACATTAATTATGACGTACAGATGTCAATTACTCAATACTCACCGTTGAGCAGCGATTGCTTGACAGAAGGCAAAGGTGAACAGCACAGTGCAGATAAAGCTTAGTGGAGTTTGCAGTGAAGACGAACATCCTGAAGGAGAAACGGCTGGATGTCGAGACGCCGTTCTGCAGCAGATCCACTGTGTCGTCATCTGGATTCGGACACCTGAGAATATCAATAATCACAGATCCTTTCAGTTTTGTATTAACTGTTTCAAATGATCTCATGCTTTAGTTCTGAAATACTGAAAGACAAAGCATGTAAGGCAATCCTAAAAAGTATATGATTATTATTTATTCAAACACTACATTGAGTTAAGGCTATAGTCTTAAAAGAATAGAAAGAAGTCCTGCTTTACTCTGAAAGGATGAGATCCCAGCGGAGGCTGTAATCGGGATCATTCACAGGTGTAGCCCAACACGTGTCCATCACCAGGGCGAACTGGCGGCTGTCGACCCCCTCAACACGAACTTCCACATGCATCTCCTGGTCGAGCTCTGCATCCACTCGACCAGTGAAGGGCCGGGTAAACTCATCATCCTCATATGGGATCATCCGGACCTGATATCTGCCTTCACCAGCGGGAAGAGTCTTGTGCACAATACTGATGAAATGTTCCCCCAAAAAAAATCAAAAACAATTAAGTAAAATCATGTACATTTTTCTATTTGCCTCAACACAATTTAGAAATGTAAATATTTCAAGAGCATAGCATATATGTATTTGCATTTGTTTACTAATTTTAATACTGTGCATTATTTTTTCCTGCTTAAAGGGATACTCCACTTTTTTTGGAAATAGGCTCATTTTACAACTGCCCCAGAGTTAAACAGTTGAGTTTTACCGTTTTCGAATGCAATCATCCGATTTTTTTGATATTTAGAAGAATATCAGTCACCAGACAGTTCCTGGTCTCATTGACTTCCATAGTAGGAAAAAAATATACTATGGAAGTCAATGAGACCAGAAACTGTCTGGTTACTGATATTCTTCTAAATATCAAAAAAAATCGGGTGAATGCATTCGAAAACGGTAAAACCCAACTGTTTAACTTTGTAAAATGAGCCTATTTCCAAAAAAAGTGGAGTATCCCTTTAAAAGATTCCCACCTCTCCAATGGGTTGATGTTCACGTTCATGGAAAGTGTTTGTGATTGATGATAAGCACAGCTGAAAGAAAGCTTCAGGATTTTCTCTCTGCTAATGAGACCTTCTGATCTCGGTGCCCCCACAATAAAGTTATCATAGATGAAGTGGGTGCCGTTAGCCTGATGGAACATGGATATAATATTTGAACATGAACAATAAACCAGTTTATTTTACTCATTAACATTTTAAACAAAGACTAAAGAGTTTGTTAGTGCATGGGGGTTCCCTGTATATACAAGAGAAGAGCATTGCCTAAGTTAATGATAATGAGCCTCTTGTGACTGTGAGTGAACACTAAAAAGTTAGAAAAAATAATTACTGCTTTCAACATATAGCAAGAGCAGTCTCATTAAACCAACATTAGAAAATGCAACGTCAATTTTGTCTAGATCAAACCAACTGGCATCACATCAGACATTTTTATGCGTTTGATTTTTTTTGAGTGAAAACCTAAGATGATGGTGCATTGAATAGCATTGTATGTAATATATCCTACCACAAGATTTGTTCCACAGATGTGTTCATCATTATCAAAATGAAATTCCACTCGGCCGTTCCGGACCGTTCCTTTGCAGTCGGGATCATTGAGGTGTAAGACATCAGCTGGAAAACCAGCCTCAAAGAGCTGACAGCGAGACACAGATATGGAGCCAGAGCTGCTTTCACAGGTTTCTGAGAAATCTGAGAGAGAAAACAGCCAGAATTAATATTAATAATAACCAATTAATTGCAGAAAATGTTTTTAGTAGAATTGGTTTCACCAAAAGAAGATGGACTGGTCTGGTTGTCATTGCACAAACAGCCATAGACACCGTTTTTCTCTCCACACCATTCATCCTCTGTGCAGTTGAGTTGGGCACAGGGGTCTAAATGAGGAAAACATAGAATGAACAAAACAGGAACCAACTAAACATTCTGTATTATGTACAAATATGGCCAGTAAACCCTCTTGACGTTTGTTTATTCCTTAAAAATATCAATGAACGAATGCCAATTCATGTTTATAAATGAGTAGAAAACATGTATGCTAATTTGATTTGCAGGTATGATTCATACTCATTTTTATTAAAATAATTCAATAATTAATTTACTACACTGTGTGATGAACTGGGTGAAAAATTAAGAATGACTTTGTTTAATGAAAATACATATACACTAATGTACAAAAAGGATTCTTTTTATTTGAAGTTATTCAGCAAGAATGCATGAAATTAATCAAAAGCAACAGTATAGAGTCATTTAACAAAATATTTTTGTTTCAAATAAATGCTGTTTTTCTATACATTTAAGAATCCTAAAAAAATGTGATGGTTTCCACAAAAAATAAAGGCACAATATGCAAGTTATGCCGCTAGAGGTCACTTATTCAAAACAATAACAAAGGCGTATAACTTGATGATGCCGTGAATCATGGGAGTTGTTGTCTTCACCTCCTCAGCTGATACAAACCAATCCGATCATGTTCATTGATGAGCTAAAGTATTAAAGTTTTATTTATTTTTGATTACTATGGTATGATAAAGGGTGGGACATTTTGTTGCAGTTTTTATCATGCTTATGCCTTTTGTTGTGTTACTTTTGTTTATCACGATTAAATTTGCATTTAACGAACACCTTCTTTGAACTTGTACTTTGTTACAGTAACGTTTGATCATCTCATTTTAAAGAAATAGTCACAAGTGCTGCTGAACTACAGGGATAGGTTGAGGGTTAGTTGCGTGTAATTATACATAATTTATTATTATTACTATGGCAGGTACATGTCACATAAGGACACTGTAAAATAAAATGCTACTCAACAGTGTTCTAGTGGTTTTTGGATATTTTAAACCAAAGATCTTATATTGTGCCTTTAAGCAGCACGACCAATTTTCAACACTGATGTTTCTTTATATTTTAAATTATATTCAAAAAGAAGTTTTTAAACTGCAATAACATTTAACAATATTCATGTTTTTGACTGCTTTGGTGAGCATAAAAGAGTACTTCAAAAAGAAAGCATTTAAAAAGAAATCCAACATTTTATTTTTATTTTGTACAGTAGTGTGTACAAGGACTCTCTTAGCATATTAGAGAAACAGTACAATACTTTACCAGTGGATGATGTCTCATTAAGGCCTCTGACATCTGATATGAGAAAGGTTTTTGTTAATGTCACCCATTTCCAAAAATAATTGCAAAAAGTTAATGAACAAAGCGTGGCTGGATCTATTTACCTGCACAGTAAGCTCCACAAAACATTGGCTTGACAAACTCATAAACGTAGTAATTTCCTGGACAGGCTTTGACTCTTATAGGATGGGATTTGTAAGTGCAACAGCCACTCCAATAGGAGACACAGACCTGACGGGTGACCACTCCATCCTCCAGCTGTGGGTGAGCGCCGTTGAGTGACAGTGGATTATCAGTGCCACACGTGTACTGATTTACACATGATTCTGGCATCTGAGCATTTTCACCATTGTTGAACATCCTGTACCAGCCATTCCACTCCACATTATAATCACACATGCCATAGTAGTAATAGTTATTATAGTAATAGTTGTCTGTGGATCTCCAAGGCTCATCCAGACTGGTATAGTTGTAGCAGGGGTCGACACTTGGTGTGCTAAAAGATACTATTACAAAAAATTTAAATTAAGGTTTAATGAATTTATGATGCATTCATATTTAAAATGGCTGTTTTACGGAATTTATAATCAGGTCAAATATGAAGAATAATGATTGTACCTGCACAATATACAGGATCTGGGATTGAAAGAGTTGGTCTGGTAAATTTGTAGACATAATAATTTCCAGGACAAGCTTTGACTTGGATTGGGTCGGATCTGTAGCGACTGCACTGATCATAACGGGAGCCGTAAACTTCACGAGTAGCAACTCCATCTTCTAGCCGAGGATGAGAGCCATCAAGCCACAGAGAACTATAACCTCCACATGACATATAATAAAAACACCCCTCAGGCATCTGAGCACTTGATCCATCAATGAAGAGTCGATACCAGCCGTCCCATTCTACACGAGTGTCATCATGATCGGAGATGTATCCATAATTAGACCAGTAATTGAGTGTGCTTCTCCAGTAGTTGTCGAGTGTGTTGTAGTTATTACACGGGTCATAATCTGTTAGAGTGAGAGATGATGAGACCAAAACAAACAAGTTATATCTCAATGAGGAACTTCATAAATTAAAATCTGAACTTACTCAAGTCGATGGTGGATCCAGTGAATATATCTGGACTCACAGTGGAAACCGCCTGTGAAATAGTGCTGACATCTAAAAAGAGGGAAATTCATGTCAAGACTGAAATCATTTTAAAAGGTTCGAAAAACTTAAAAAGTGGAAATAACATGTTACCTGTGCAGTATCCTGAACACCACATTTGTTGATTTACAAGTTCATAGACATAGTAATTGCCTGGACACGCTTTCACTCTGATGGGTTTAAAGTTGTATTCACAGCAGCTTCCCCAATGATAACTACCACAGACCTCCCTGATCACCACTCCATCCTCTATCTGAGGGTGAGGATCACTGAGCCACAGATTGATGTATGTGTTACAGGTGAATGAACTGATACAGGTCTCTGACATCCGGATGTCCATTCCATAGTAGAAAAGCCGGTACCAGCCATTCCAGGAGAGCATGTCATCACAAATGTAATCTCCACTTTCATTGTTGGCTCTCCAGGGACGATCCAGAGACTCATAGTTGTAGCAGGGATCACTGCTGATGTTTTGGAAAGAAACTGTCATGGACAACAGAGAAATATTGAGCATTCAAATACCTTTTGTGTAAACTAAAAATACAATGTCTGGTCTACAGTGGAAATGTGTATATTTAAAAAAAATTTTCTATCCTATTTAAAACTTCAAATCAGACATTTGTAGGTTGAAATTCTCAAAGAGTGCAAACATTCCTTTAGTTTAGATCATTTCTCTTTTAGTTTTAGAGGTATTTCCATGTAACAGGGACCAGTCCATCTTGTCTGTCTAATCAGAGTACAAGGATGGTTTAGGAAACATTATTTTACCAAATCTGCTTGGAATAGAAATTACAAAATTTACCTTTAGGTTTTGTTCTGTTAATTAGAGTAGTTCATATTTGAAGACGATCAAAACCTTTCATCAAAGTTATACATGAATTGTGAACAATACTCGTTCTTGTTTTAGGTCAACTTTGATCCACTTCAAATGTTGACTACTAGTTGAAAGACATTTGTAGGTAGACATTTGCTTTAATGTAATAAACAGCAAGATTGGGATCTACACACATTTACGTTGTAAAAAAGAGCCCAGAACTGCACCTTCACAGTATGTTGGCCTGGGGTATGATATGTTGGGTTTAACAAATTCATAGACGTATTAATCTCCTGGACAAGCATTAACTTGGACAGAAGTGGATTTGTGGTCGCCACACTCAGGTCAAATATGAAGAATAATGAATATACCTGCACAATATACAGGAGCTGGGATTGAAAGAGTTGGTCTGGTAAATTTGTAGACATAATAATTTCCAGGACAAGCTTTGACTTGGATTGGGTCGGATCTGTAGCGACTGCACTGATAATCACGGGAGCCGTAAACTTCACGAGTAACAACTCCATCTTCTAGCCGAGGATGAGAGCCATCAAGCCACAGAGAACTTAAACCTCCACATGACATATATTTAAAACACCACTCAGGCATCTGAGCACTTGATCCATTAATGAAGAGTCGATACCAGCCGTCCCATTCTACACGAGTGTCATCATGATCAGATATGAGTCCATATATAGACCAGTAATTGAGTGTGTTTCTCCAGTGGTTGTCGAGTGTGTTGTAGTTATTACACGGGTCATAATCTGTTAGAGTGAGAGATGATGAGACCAAAACAAACAAGTTATATCTCACTAAGAAACTTTATAAATTAAAATCTGAACTGGTCAAACAACATACTCAAGTCGATGGTGGATCCAGTGAATATATCTGGACTCACAGTGGAAACCGCCTGTGAAATAGTGCTGACATCTAAAAAGAGGGAAATTCATGTCATGACAGAAATCATTTTAAAAGGTTTAAAATAATGAAATAAATCACAGTACCTGTGCAGTATCCTGAACACCACCATGCTTGATTCACAAGTTCATAGACATAGTAATTGCCTGGACACGCTTTCACTCTGATGGGTTTAAACTTGTAATCATAACAACCTCCCCAATAAGACCCTCCACAGACCTCCCTGATCACCACTCCATCCTCTATCTGAGGGTGAGGATCACTGAGCCACAGATTATAGTATGTGTTACAGCTGTATGAACTGATACAGGTCTCTGACATCCGGATGTCCATTCCATAGTAGGAAAGCCGGTACCAGCCATTCCAGGAAAAACGTTCATCACAAATGTAATCTCCACTTTCATTGTTGGCTCTCCAGGGACGATCCAGAGACTCATAGTTGTAGCAGGGATCACTGCTGATGCTTTGGAAAGCAACTATCATGGAGAAAAGCAAAATATTGAGTTATGCATTAAAATACCTTTTGTGTAAGTGAAAAATACAATGTCTACAGTTGAAATGTGTATTATTAAACACTTTCTTCTATCACTTCAAATCAGACATTTGTTTTAGAAATACAACACAACTTCTGTAACCGGGACCAGTCTATTTTGTCCACCAGTCTACTTTTATACAGTAGTCAAATTACAGTAGTAATTTGAAGTGGATCAAAACATTTCAAAGTTATACTTGAATTTTGAACAATACCCATTCTTGTCTTAGGACAACTTTGATTAACTTTTTTGATCCACTTCAAATGTTGACTGCTGTAATTGAAAGACATTTGTAGGTAGATATTTGCTTTAACATATAGTATTAACAGCAAGATTTTGATCTACAAAAATATATTTTGTGAAAGAATAGCCCAGAACTGCACCTGCACAGTATGTTGGTCTGGGGATTGATATGTTGGGTTTAACAAATTCATAGACGTAATAATCTCCAAGACAAGCTTTAACTTGGACAGAAGTAGATTTGTGGTCGCCACACTCCGAGGAATACCACAAAGAAGTCCCCACGACTTCACGGGTCACCACTCCATCCTCAAGTGTTGGATGAGAACCGTTGAGATACAGTCCAGTGTCGCCACCACATTTCACATAACTCACACACCACTCAGACATCTGGGCACTTTCTCCATTCAGATACAGCCGATACCAGCCGCTCCAGTCAACAAGAGTGTCATCATAACCAGAGTACTGATATGAGCTTTGCCGTATGTCTCTCCAGGATTCATCAAGAGTGTTATAATCATAGCATGGATCAGAGATGGACGTTGTAGGTTCTGAACGAAGAAAATGAAAGGAGACATTAGATAATCTAATGCAACTACCAATCGAGCTCGTTCAGGATCATTGGCATCAGAGAACAATCAGGTCACTATTCAGATGATATTTCTGGGATTATAATTCATGATGAAGTCAACCATGAACCTGAAGAGTGATTGTTTTACCTGATGTTTGTCCATTGATTATTTCACCTGTTAAAAACAAATTCCCAGCATTTTGAGTTAATATTATTGCATCTAGTCAGCTGTTATTTAAATCCATTATTCTGAGAGATATAATGGGTCACTTTTGAATTTACAACTCACCATTAATCATCAGCAGCGACACACAAAGTGAGATCAGAAACCTCATTGTGACAAACTGACCTGTAAAATCACAACTTGTTTCTGAATGGTTAATTGTGGCATTCTGTATAGGCTAATGAAAAACTTCTGTATAACGTGCACTAACTGTAAGCCCTGTTCTGGCATCCGATGTCCTGCACTGCTAACTTGTCTCATATCACTTCTCGCTCCGCAAAATACGTTTTTCGTATCAATTTATTTACTTTTTTTTAGACATATAAAATGTAAAATAGATATGTAATTATCAAAAAACTAACCCTATGATAGGGATTTTTTTACATTGGCGTGAACAAACTGACTGAATATTATACCTTAAGCATGGAGAATTATTTTCTAAAAAGTCAGCTTTTGTAATACATTTTGACTTACAATATTGACAGTATAACATGGGATCTTCATTAGTTGTTTTTACTTGTTCATATTAAGTTTTTTTAAGCATTTTATGTAAAATACACCTTCAACTATTCCATAACTTAACAACCAGAATATAACAAAAGATGGCCATTAATAACTAATCCGATCTATCTAAAGCAAATGACAGAAAGAGTGATCAGAATGCACTGATAAAATCGAGAGACTTACTGTTACCTGAGGGAAAATGCAAGGCAAACTCTGGGAGAATCTTTTCAGCACCTGAAAATAGTGATGCTGATCTGCCTTTATTTATAACTTTAGGTCGACCTTTACTGGAACCAAGAGCAATCTCTAAACAATCACTTAAACCAGTTTTTCCATTTCTTTTTAAGTTGTGTGAGTGTAACTAGGTTTGCGTGCCATTTAATTGGCTTACTTCATTGTGCAGCTCTGTTGGTTTCTGGTTGCTCTGATATTAAAATGCAATGAAAACAATAGTTAATGTGTATGTCCGACTAAAATCCGACCATGCCCTGAGATTCCCAGCAATAAACAAAATCCTACTTAAGTGTATTAATTACCAATGAGGTTTGTCTAAATATCTTATTTGTCTAATGTGTCCTATATTGTTCGAATTTAGTCATACTGACATGTTCTAAAATACTAATTCATACATATATATCATATATATTCACTAATTCATATATATCATGCATATAATTATGTCTTGTTCCGGTCAGGCATTTTCACATCAAAAATATGTCAATGCATTATAACAAAATAGATGTATAGTATTACAAAAATACAAATAAGTCTTAATATCTTATGCACTTCTTTTTTATGCCAAAACTTGCATAGACATTTTAACTGGTAAACAAGATTAAACAGGAAATGCATTTCTGCAGTAGAAGAAACGTGTGTGATGTGGATAGGAGGCTTGTGAGCAACAGTTCCTAAGAGAAGCAGAGATGTCACTGGTGAATCAAACAGATCATAATTCTGTCATGTTCAATGTACAATATTAAAATACATACCTCTCCATTTTAAATGCAGACATGAAGATGTCAGCAAAAACAAACAAATGACAGGGCAAACTTAATCTGTGGGTGGAAGAAAAGTAATGCTTTTAATATTACAAATAGCCTATGACAAAAGGTATAGATAATATTTAAGAATGGATTCTTAGATTGCATTCAAGATTTTGCATTCATTTCATTGACTACAGTGCCAGTGGACATTGAAAGTCAAGTAAAGCATTTTTGAATTGTGGGATACAATATCAAATGCAAATTAGTGTAGTTACAAAACTAGTTATCAAGAAATTCCATCTATACAAGCATTCTTTGCACATGCATATTGAAGAAATAGTAAAATTTTCCAAATATAGTCTAGGACTTTAAAATATAAACATAATAAAATAGCACTTACCATTGCAGAGGACATGAAAGCACTTAAAGATGACAGAAGCAGAGTCTCTCTCTGTACTTAAAACGCTGACTGCTTTTTTTTTTTTTCTTCTTGTAATGAATCAAAGTAAATTTCAATTTGTTCCTATTTTGTCAACACCTAATCCTTTTGGTCCCCACTATGAAAATAGTTTTAGAATGAAAGCAACAAACGTGTTTAAAGGCTCATAAAAGTTCAACAAACTTTTTATTCCATATGAAGAGTAAACAGCAAATTTCAGAGAAAAGTGGAACAGGACAGTGACATTTAAAAAAAGAAATAGGTGAAGAGAGTTATAATATTTGTTTAAATGTATAAATCAATTTGGAGGTTTTAATTCAGAGGTTCATGGTTTCTAGCTCAGATCCAATACTGTGTTTTGCACGTGTCCAAACAATGGAAATATTGGGAGCAATACAAACAGATTTTGGAAAAATACAAATGGCAAGTTGGAAAGTTTTTTTTCCAACTTTCAATGTCAATTACGTTAACAAGACTATTCCAGTAAAGCATGTAAATGCATTTCCGAATAAAGTTTGTATCTTAAAATTATGCTTGTATTAACATAGTCCAATTAGCCAATAATTTGGAAATGTTATTGCCATCAGTTCTGCTTCTTTTGCTGACATATTTGTGACATATTATGAATTTTCAAAATAAATGTTTTTTGTTTGTTTGTTTGTTTGTTTGTTTGTTTGTTTGTTTTAAGCATTAGTCTGACTCCTGTATAGGGGAGAGCGGGGGAAAACCTTACACTTCTTGACTTTCTCCGTTTTTGTAACCCTACTTTGTGTTCAGAATATTTATTTTTTCCCCACAATAATTTCTCACATCTAATACAATAATGTGGTTTTGTTTTATTAATACAGTGCACACTTTTTCTTGATATACTCTGAAAAATTGGAAATGAATGTGACAACATGCCCCATATGTGGGGCATATTGTAAAATGTGAGGGGCACATTCTAACATGACCATATGACAGATTAAAATGTTATCTGATCTAATCAAAAAAATGTACAAGACAAATTAAAATTTTAAATTATTAAGTTTTTAATGTAGGCCTAACAATAAAAAAAAATGAGTTCGACAACAAATATGCAAATCACCTATATACACCATAGTCCAAACATTTTAATAATTTCTGAACATTGACTTTCAGTCTTCATTCACTTTTTCTCATGGTTTCTCAATAGAATTAATAAAAGTTTAGAACGGAATATTATAGTTCTAAAGGAGATCATTGTAACGCACAACACAGTCGATCTGCGCAACTGAGATTTAACCTCAAGTGTCTTCTACTGGTTAGATCGGCATTAAAGAACGATCTTAACAGTTAAATAACAGACTGAAGATCAAAATTCTATCACATTTGAATAATTTTAAATAAACACAAAAAAACAGATGAAAAATTAACATAAGTAAAAACTTTACTTTTGCTCTGGTTAAATAAATGTTAATTGGTATCTTTTAAAATATTTTATTGATTTTGGTGCTTTTTTTTTTTTTGGTAATTAGGTTGTCATGCTAGCATGTGTGGAAGTATTTGAAACAAGTGTGTAACAACTAACCCCGCGTTAGGGTTAGGTTAGGAGGGGGTGTGTCCCGCTCAGCCCTCATTGCCGCTTTTATGACCTCAGATCAGTTGAAAAACGATTTCTTTTACATCTAAACATTCTTTAAAAAAGCGAGCATTTCAAACTAATAACTATGCTGATAGTATTTCAAATACCGGATGTCTATACTTCGTTAAAAGGCCTATATATTTGTAGCAAATAATGATGCAGGAAACTATGTCCACAAATACAACAGGTGGCATTTCAAGCTAAACACCTTCCAGAAAAACATATACTTACATTTGGGAGATTCCTTGTGTGTTTACAGTATGTTTGTTTTAAAAGCACAACGTTAATAATGCCACAGTGCAGACTAGAGGAATCAACAATGGTTGACGTGTATCATTCTGAGCAAACCGTAACCGTCTATTGTATTCAAAATTATAGCCTGCATACGCCTTTAAAGTAACAACTTAATATGAATTGACACTATGCTTAAGCCACACGACTTTTAAAGGGTAATCTTTGAGCAAATATGTACATTACACACGACACCCGGAAACCAACAATACTCGCATCCTGGTCAGCAACAAACGAGTCTACTATGAGTTCAAAGGGCCTCATGTATATTCATGTTGTGGCGGTAAATTACCTCAGATGATCAGACTGATTGGATAAAGGATGAAATGGGCGCCAAGCAGCTGGCGAATCAACGAATCCTACCTGGCGCTCAAATATGAATACATTCTGTGATTGGATGCGCCAGCCAGATTAACGTCAACGTCCGCATGGCGTAATTAATATTCATGAGTTAGACCTTTGCTGTAGTAGGATTGGTAATTTGGCGTCGTGTTGAGCTGCGCCACAGGTGCGCGGTGGACAGATCAGAGTGAGATGGGGAATTCAGACTCCAAACTGCACTTCAGAAAAGCGGTGATTCAACTTACAACCAAAACACAGGTCAGCTTTACTTTTTATTTGACATATGTGACTTTTATGACGTTAAATGTCTGTGCAGAGTTAAAAAAAAAATGTCCTTATAAACGCTGATAAAGTGTAACAGATGGAATACTATCGTTTGTTTTTCTCATAATCTCATATTGTTAAACTGGATAACGTTAAACCGTTTGAAAATGTAAGCTTTCGTTTAATATTGAATGTTAGGTTTTTAAATCCTAATTCTATAATTTTATGTCAAATGATACAAAATTATGCACATAACCGAAAGGAGAGAGAATTCGAAAATGTATAACGTTTTAGATATGACAGCTGTGTGCATTCATGCTGTTTGTGTTTTTATTACATGAACTTAGATTGATTACCTCTGCTGTTCTCCTTTAATAGTGAGTTTTTACAGGTCATGGTCATTTAGGGTTAAGCTGAGATGCTTTGTTTACATTTTCCCAGTTTAAAAAAAAAAAACGCCTTGTTTGTAAAGGATTTAAAATAATAATCCACATTGTCCTGTAACAAAGACTGTGAGAAAAGTATTATTAGTTTATATTTTATAAATAAAGAAAAAAATATTATGTTTTAAAAAAAAGAAAATTAAGAATTCAGGGCCATTCACATGCTTTGCATTTAATTTGCTTTTTCTTTTTTATAATTTTAAAATTAAAGGGCAAGATGTACTTACTGCAATGGGAAAAATATATTGTCCACAGACA